CCCCTTTAGAGAGCTTTCCCAGAAGCCCCACCCAATGACTTCCACTTACATCTCCTTGGCAAACCTATCTGCAAGAGAGAAATGTAGATTTTTAGTCCTGTCCCTTGCCAACAATAATACAAAGGTCGGTTACCAGGGAAGAAGGGATGCGTGGATATTGGGCAGACAACCAGCAGTCTTTGCCACAGCAACTGAGGTGAAGTCTCTGTGTGGCTTATCTTCTCCGGAGCCCCGAGGGGAATGGTTCTGTGCCCTCAGATGCCCTGTGCCATCCTGCCACGGACAGAGCTGATGGCACTGTGGCTTTGGGCCTAGAGATGGAGGCAGTTCTGGACACAAGGCAACTTGTGTCCAGAAGAAGCAGAAACCGAAATGGTGGTAAGTGGTTGGGGTGGTCATGTGGCTGTGGCTGCCTGGGTCAGGTGCCACAGGAACAAAAGGGCCGGAGTGGCATACTGCTCAGAGGGCCTCGGGACACCTGAGGCAAGTCCTCACTGTCTGCCCCAGCCCTGCCTCTGTCACAGGAGTGACCATCCACTTAGCCTCTGTCATCACATTGTGAGACCACAGAAAGCAACAGAAGGCAGGACATAAGAAGCACTGAATCTTAACAACCCTATATAGCGAGCAGACAACTATTATTATCCCATTTTACAGGTGTGAAAGCTGGCTTAATGATACTCTCATCCCAAGAGGCAGCGGTAGGGTATCGAGCTGGGTCTTGGGGCCCCTGGTGCCCTGGAGGAGTTACAGATGAGAAGTGGAAGCCTGCCAGGGAGCCCCTGAGGATGGCTCTGGGCTGGGCGGGCGGCCCCTCCCTGCCTTTGTTTCTGGGTGTCCTGGTGGCCCCTGGCTGGAGGAGGCAGCCCCAGTCCTTCCCAGCGGCCGGTGAGGTGGCGATGCTGGGGAACAAGCAGTGGCAATCATACGTGCTCCTCTGCCCATCGAGCCTGCATCCTTGGCTGGCTTTAGAGTTAACCTTTCCAAATGGCCCAGACTCGGCAGTTATTTCTCGGAAGAGTCCTCAGCAGCATGGCGCAGCTTCCACCCTTCGGGTTAGCTCAGCGGGCGAGGATGGCGAGAGCGTCTCTCCAGGGCACGCTTTCTTCTCCACAGAGTGGGGTGAGCTTCCTCGCAGCTTGGCCTCTCGTTGCGCTCAGCGCTCTGCTTCCCCAGTCTGGCTTGTGGGGCCGCACTCAGCCCATCCCTCCTTTCCGGCACCCCCGATGCATCCTATCAACTGGCGTTCCTGCCGCTGCTGCCTTGTCCCCAGTTAAAATTCTCCAGAGAGAGTTCAGTGGGCCCAGCTCATCCTCGCACACTAGGCCCCACCTCGTAGGCCACTGCCAGGTGACAGATTGGACATTTAGGTCCAATCAGCTGTGGCTGGAGGAGGGGGTGGGGTCACATGGTCTGCTTGGGGCTGCCCCTTCAGTGGGGGCTTGGGGCTGGGGGCTGGGGGCTGGGCACTTTCACTTGCAGGAGCCTGTGGGGGTGGAGGAACCATCCCAGACTTGTCTGATACGCAGATGACACTCTGTGAGAAGAGTCTGGAAGCCTCTGTGGATGAGGCGATATTTGATCTGGGCCTGGAAGTGTGGGTGGGATTCAAGGAGCAGGGACGGGGCGAAATATTCCAGGAGGCGTAAGGGAAAGAAAGCAGATGCTCAAGATGCTCATGGAGCAGCGGGGGGGTCTTGTATGACTTGGAGGGATACATGGGGGGTGGGGTGCAAAGGAAATGGGGCAGAATCGGGCTAAGGCCAGACAGAGAAGGGACTGTATTTTTAGGAGGAGGAAGCAGTGGGGCTGTCACCGGAGCTGTGCCCTAGGAATCAGGGAGCAGGGACATAGTGGAGGTGACTGGGAAGAAACTCGCAAGTTTCTCCCTATTCTTTGTCATCCGTCTTTCCACGTCCAGACAGAGCCAACCTGCTCTCCAACCTGGCCCTCGCCGGGCTGAAAAGCCACTCGCTGCCCACTGAGTGCCCATGGGCTCTCCCACTTTTCCAAAGTCCTAGACACTGGCCAATGGGCTGTCACTGGAAGCTATGTGCTCTCTCTCTTTTTTTATTAATTTATTTTTTTAATTACAGTTGACATACAATATGATATTAGTTTCAGGTTTAGAATATAGTGATAAGACATTCGTATCCTACAAAATGCTTCCATGTGCTCCCCTCCCACGCCACGTGACTGGTGATTGTTCAGGTGGTGGCTCTGCTAGCACCTGCATCCCTGAGACACCAGGTGGAGCAGAGGCCTGCCCGTCATGGCCCTGCTCCCACTGCACTGGGCCTGTGACGTGACTGAGCATGAGACTTCCTGTCATTGAAGTCATTGAAGTTTGGGAGCTGATTTACTGCAGTGGAACCCCAGCCCAACCTGATCAAAATACTGGCCGAGGGGAGCTGGCCTCTCAGCAGCATGGGCCTTGCACCCCCCACAGAGGGGTCTCAGGAGTTAGAGCCCCGAGGATGATTTGGCTGGGACTCTCAAAGCACCAGGACTCACTGCCTCCATGGGGCCACCGCGGGGCTGGGCCTGCATTGCCCAGGCGTGTAGCCTCCACTGTGGGGGCGGGTGGCACTCAGGTAAGCTGCCTGCAGAAGATCAGCCACAGGTGGCAAAAGAAGATGGATGTGTCTGATTGACCAGCAGCTCTGTCCAGCGAGGAGGACGCTGTCCCAGGAGGGAGTGAGGCTGGAGACTAGACTCTGCCTTCAGGCAATAGCCTCCTCCTGGGGGTCCCCCCGGGAGCTCTGAGCAAGGCAAAACTGACCGTGTTACTTCCCCGCTTAAAAACCTAGGACAAGGGCCGGATACCTTAGTAGAATTTTCAAAAAGTCATTTGCAACCTGCCCCTTCCATCCACTTGGCCCCATCACACCTGCTCTGCGTGGCCGCTCCCCAGGGCTCTGTCTTCTCCAAACTACCTGAGAGCGTCACACCTCCAGACTGGCCTGTGCCATTTCCCATACCTAGAATGCCCCTCGCCCTGTTGGAGTCTTCCCATACCCTTCTCAAGTGTCGCCTGTCCCTCCTTCCCTGGCCCGGTCACTCTTAGCCACTCGCTGCCAGCCTCTGTGGTCGGGGTTGGCCATACTGGCCTGGCCTCCTGAGCCAGCCAGTCTCTGCTGTAGGCGGGGCCAAGTCTGGACCAGAGCTCACCTCTCTGAGATGCAGACAAGGAAGGATTTTCTCTACAAACTCTGTCAGGTACTGTGCTGGGCGCTGGTTCAGAAGTGAGCAAAATCAACATGGTCCTTGCCCTCCTGGGGCTGACTTGGGGACAAGTGGATGTTAAACAGATAACCAGATGAATAAATGTATAAATTTTGCCTGGAAGGAAAAACAAGGATCTATTCAAGACGTGGGTGGGGAAGTTTGAGGGCAGGTCTCTCGGAGGAAGAGGGTTTTAAACTGAGACTGAGGGGTGAGGAGGCCTTGCCAGCCAGGGGGGGAGTAGGGAAGTGGGCAGGGGGGTGCGGCCGCAGAGGGACGGGCATATGCCAGAGCCAGAGCAATGGTGGCAGGAGGTGGAGTGACGACCCCAAATCGCAGGTCCCTTCAGGACCCATTCTCGTCTCCCCACAATTCCCTCTCTTTCTCTCTCTCCCCTGCACTGTTCGCCCACCAGCCCCATCTCCCCGGCCCTAACTAGACCAGGTGACACGGGGGCACCTTTATGCACTCATTCTCCAGCAACCCCGAGAGACAGGTATAATCGTGCCCATTTATAGACAAAATACGAGAGTCCAAGGTCACTGGCCAGCAGGTGCTGAAGTGTGAAGTCCAGGCCCGGGACCGGAGCTGCCCTCTCTGTCCCACAGGACTCCAGAGCCTGACTGTGCCCCACGGCCCCGCCTGGCACGGGGTAGACTCGCCTCCTGCCCCGTCTCCTCTCTGCCAGGCTGGGGGCGTGTGGGAGTAAAGGAAGCCATGGCTCCAGGGCCAGGCTTCGTAATGGAAGGCCAGGAAGGTCCTGGCTGTGAATAGCAAAATGGCGACGGCTCCAAACCACTCAGTGGGCATTGTTTTTGCTGCCAGCCCCGTGTGTCTGCCGACATCTCAAAGAGAGTGAAAGCGTCGTGATAAATCGAGGGGGCAGGCCGTCGCGCGGGCCCGATGACTCGCTGACAGCAAAATATCTGGGATTAAAGTGGCGCCCAGGTGAAGACAAAGCCACACCCGACTGCAGGCCCAGCAGGCACCAGAAAGGAGCCCAGGGCAGGAATCTGTCTCTGCTGGGAGCCCCCCATCCTGGTGCAGCCACTCAGGACAGTCCACTCATCCACGACAACCTCCAGAGAGGCAGGGGTGGGTGGCTGACACTCTGTTTCTACATCTGAAAACTGTGGCTCCTGAAGTCAATGCCCAAGGTCACACGGCCAATGCCCGGGGAGCCGGCTCATGGGCTCCCTGTCCCCGAAACCATTGTTCCTTTCCAGTCAGGCTGGTAGGGGCAGGACAGGGAGGCCGGGGCCCCATGAGGTGGTCTGGAAAGGCAGGATGCAGCCACTCCTGGCAGCTGAGTCCAAGCCCCCTGCTAGAAAGCCTTTTCAGAAGTATCTTTCTGGGGATGTGGTCAAATGTTGCTGTCGGGGTCTGAGCATCTTGAGATGCTGAGGGGTCATCTACTGATGGCCAAGTCTCAAGGGCTGTGACCTCCAGAGGATGTGGGGCAGGCGGGCAGGTATAGAGTTCGGCTGCATAGAAGACTCGGGGATGAAACAAGTTTTCCAGGAGCTGAAATCGGCCTCGTCTCTTTATACTTCCGTGACCTTTTACTGACTCTAGGACAGATCTGGGAAACTGTAGGTCACAAACCTCTCAGTTTGGACGTACGGTGGTGGCAGTGGGTGGCGGGGTGGGAGGCTTGGGGTTCTGCAGCGTCCTGGAGTCCTGTCCGTCTGCTCTGTGCAGACAGGGCCCTCCGCCCGCTGCTTCCCAGATCTGACTAGAGTAGTTTCTAGAAGCAGTGCTCCTTCTAGCTACTCTCCAGAGAGGCCCTGTAGCAGGATGTAG